CATTGAGAACTTCTCATCTGAATTTAGAGGTTAAACTAGAAGAAGCTTAGAGAAACTTCGTTCAGTAAAAAGAGTGGCAAACAAGAAACTACTGAGGCATACATTTTAGTAGGTGTTGGGGTTGGAGTCAGCAGCGAGGTAAATTGCCTTCATTGAACACAATTTGTTGCAGTGCATGGAACTTACACTGAAGCATTCTCTTCACACTCAAAATTTGGAAATAAGGGAAAAGACATTATCTTCAGGGAGGTAAACTTTTAAAAATGGAATATTTTAAAACTGTCAAATATTTAATGAAGCCTGTAGAGAAACACAAAATTTTCTTAAAGGGACAGAATGGCTCCCAGGCCAACAAGATTTGACTATAATTTGATGGAATGAATTAATGCGTTTAAAAAAGGCATTGCCAGTCAGGGTCGGAGATGGTCAGAGAAGATCCCAGAGCCAATTTTAAACACTGCTGGCCTATGGCTCTGTTGGTAGGACAACACGGCTGCTGGGATGGTGCTGTTGGGGAGAGAATACGCTCTTAATACCAACCCGCATGTGCCGGTCAGTGTGACACCCACACACTTCGCACTCGCTCATTCACCCCGGTCTCTGGATCCACTTAGCTGGAGTCGTCCCTAAGAGACTTCTGCTGGCAGTTTCTGGCACTCGAAGGCTGGGTGGGCCTCCAGGTGATGACATAGTCCTATGAAGTTTCTTTGGAGACAGCCACCACGCTGTTCCAGTTGTCACTTCACCTGCATTTCCATGTCTTCACACCTCTACATTCATTAAATGCTTACCTGGTGTCAGTGGGGCCCTAAGGTAAGGTAGTTATGGTAAACTCAGGAAGATCAGTCTTGATTCAGCTTCATGAACTCTCTAGAGCCGGGCCTTATCTAGGCTCTGGACCTCCCCACTCCAACCCTAAATATCTATGGAGAAATTTGTGTGTATGTGTCTCTGTATTTTTCTGGGGAGAGGGTCTATAGATTCTGACAGGGTTCTGTTAAACAATGTAGTTTATACCATTGCTTTGGGGAGCACGGTTTGGCTCCTCTAGCATAGGAGAGCTGCAGGGGAGAAGGACTGGACACCAAAGCATAAGCCCTTAGGAATGCAAAAGACCTAGATGCTAGGAACAGAGTGAGGAGAGTAACGTGTGGGTAGGAGAGGGATAAAGAAAGGGACAGTGTACTATTCCATAATGTACATAGCCTGCCGTGAGTTTAATTATTTGTGTAATATTCTTTTGACATTTTTCCAATATTCCTTTTTGGCTAATTGATCCCCTTTTCTGGGAGGTAATAGTGGGTGGAGTGCAAAGTAGCAGGGACAGTTCCCGCAAGCATATTCAAGGACGTGGAAGGCACACCATACACGTAGGAAGTAAATTGCTACAGGATGATAATAAGAGCACCATGCTGATTTTTGCAATTTTAAACCCAATATCTGTTAATAGTCCCTGCAATGCAATTTACTTCAACTCATTACAATTCAACTCACTTCAATAAGCAATAATTAAAAACTCCTTGTCCATATTATTTCATCTTAGAAAATTTAGCAATGTATTATGGGTCAGGATACGCCAAGTGGTACTGTAGTATCCCCCAGACTGAGAGTAGGGGAGCTCTCAGAGCAACACTGTAGTATAACCAGGGGGTATTCCCTTGGCTTGCTTGGAACACTTCTGGTCTACTTCTGCTATTCCAGTGTTATTATTAATAGCACCCCACTCAGAAGACAATTTATATGGTAATCCCTCTATCTAACTCTTTTATTGCTCTAGCCTTGTTTTATCTTACCTGTTTGGGTATCTCTCTTCCTCACTAAACTAATGAGCTTTTTGAGTGTAGAGGCATTGTCTCATTTATCTCTGGGTCTAGCACTTGTCTGCTATTTGGTGGACACTTAATAAACATTTGTTTAATTGAACTGAAATTAAAGACAGAATGAAGAGTCTTAGAGTAGAAATGGCCAGCCAACATTATCTTCCATGCACTCTCAAGGTCTAGACTGGAGGCCCAGTTTTGAGCTACTTATGAGCTTTGTGCCTTGGGAAACTAATCTTTTTCAATATGTGTGAAGTGCTTAGAGAAGGGCTTTTAAGTGTCCAGTGAATTTTAGCTGCTAGCATTCTTATCAATAATAATTAGTTGCTAACAGTAACTGTTTATTACATATAGTAACTTCAAACTTTAGTTTTCTTAAGTGGAAAATGAAGGTAATAATTCCTGTTTACTTTATCTTGATAATGAATACAAAAACACTTTGGAAACTATAGACAGTTCTCACTGAATAGCCCATAAACGAATGCACAGTAACAGAGAGGTTTGTACTACAGAACAGAGTAACTCAGGCATTTTACATGGGGGCTCAACTGACTGGCAATATAAGGAAACTTTTAAATATAATATTTTAAAAAGATGACAAAAATGGCTGTGTTGGAGGGTAGAAGTTGATCTATGCCAAAGTGTAGAAACGTAAAAAAGCACACAGGAAAAAATGGCAGGTGGACTCAGGATAAGTAGGGAAATTAGGATTCGGGTGCTGCTCAGTGTGGGGTTGACAGAGCACTGCCGCAGGTGTGAGGAGGGAACAGAGCCCTTGCGGGCTCGGCTCCTGGAGAGCAATCGCTTGACTTGGAGCTGAAGAATATTCATGTCAAGATAGACATTCTGCTTTGCGCAATCAGTTAAGAGCTTGTATTTCTGAGTTAGTGTGAACATTTTATCAAAGTTACGCCAAGTGTAGGCAATACGTAAGAAAGCCCTTCAGCACCTGTATGGCCTGCTAATAATAGGAAGGAACCTAATAATCACAACCGAAAGCAGCTTTCAGCCAAGGATCACAGAACATTTTGCGATAATGTAATATTTATCAGATTATGCAGAGAAATAGGTAGATTTAAAGTTTTATGTTTCAGCTCCTTTGTTATTCTAAGAGGCAATTATAAGAGCAGAACTATTGATACTAGGAATTCTTGGACCTAACTGCCAATAAACCAGGAGGTAGAATTTCTGGTGTACGTTGGGGAAATGGGTCAAATAGTAGTAGCAGCAGCAGTAGCTGATGCTTACAGAGCAGTATCATGTACTGGCTCATTTAATCCTGATAACAACCCTGCCAGGTGTGTACTATCACTACCCCCATTTTGTGGCTAAGAAACTGAGGAATAAAGAGGTAAAATAATTTACTGAAAGTCACACACCTCCTAAGTGGCAGAGCCAGTCTCCAAACTCAAAATGTCTTGATCCAGAAAAAGTGCTTTGAACCAGGACACTCTACTACCTCTCCATTCTAGCTGTTACAGCCAGTGCAAAGTACACCTAGACTTTGTGGGATACAGTTGTGGAACTGCTTTCAGTACAGGCCCTTGGGCTCTCTATGCAGTGGAAATTAACAGGAGGCCAAATGGGAGTCACAAGCAAGGCTTTACTGGGGCTTATGCTAAGCGCAAGGGAGGTAGTACAAAGCAGAAACGTCCTTCAGGCCCGCTCCCCGAGGGACATTCGGGGAAAGTTTCAAGGAGACTTGGGTGGGGAAGGGGTGATGTGTAAGCATGTGGAGGTGGGGATTTTTCTTGCACCTGTATAGTTCTGTTACAAGCTTCTTCATGCATCACATGTCTCATTAGCATGTTAAATCCCCACCCTTAGGTGTGATTTTTACCATTAAAATGAGATTATAATGAAGGAAAAAGCCAGTGTAAGAACAAAGTCAGGATCTCTTCTAGCTTCAGGTGGTTGGATCTGGATAAGGTCTGGTTCCTTTGCAGCCAGGTGCCTTATCAGCCTGTGTCAGTATCTCACTCCAGTGTCCCTGAAAAACATCACTCCTAAGACAGATGGGTAGGCCACTCTCCCTATCTGGGTATGAGCTGAATTCCAGCAGAGGGAAGCCCTTTGAATTAGCCTGGATCACGACGTCCATGTGGTCTTCCTCGGTCAGAGCTGAGACCCAAGTCCTGTCCCTATACTGGCTCAGAAATGAGGCCATAAACTTCACGGGTGATTTTTCTATTCTGTCTCTGGCTTTTCTTGGAAGGAGGAGGTTTGTCTAGATCATATATTTATTAGAGGTGAGCCTCTTATCTTATTCAAATTTACAAGGGCTGTCCAGAAAGTATCCAGACACATATGTCTCTATCACAGGACATGGCTGGATACTTTCTGGACAGCCCTTGTATATCCTCTAGGATTTAGTAATATCCTCTCATGGCACAGAGCAGGTGCTGAATAGCACGAGTTGAAGTCTCTATGGCTTTTCCTCCTTGACATAAAATCCTTTTTAACTGAACAAGGGAGGAGTGTGGGAAGGCATAGCTCTGCCTCAAACTCCCAAATTCAAGTTGGCATTTACTTGTTAATCCTCTGTGCTCAAATACTTTCACCAAATCCTGACTCTGAACTCAAGGCCTAGTTCTAGTCTCTCCTGCCCATGAGGTAGCTGGGTCCAGCCAAGGGGAGGGTCTGGTTACGGCTATCAGCTAGCATTCCTGTCACGTGGCTTGTAGTCATGTCTGCTAGGGCTGTGGATCGAACTCAAGACTCAGAGCTGGATTTGAATCTTAGCAGCAGAACTTCCCAGCTGTTTGGCCTTGGGCAAGTCATTCCATGTAGCCACTCTGAGCTCAGTTCCATTATTTATAAAATGAAGATAATATTACCTTATTTCAGGTATAATACAGGGGTAGGTATGATTGGGAGACTTGAACAAGACAATATATCTGAACACCTAGCGTAGTGGTTGGCACAAGGTAGCTAGGTGCTCAAATCATAGGAAATGATTTTCCCAGTTAGACTGCAACTTCCTTGAGGTCTGAGATCATGTCTTATACTTATTTGTCAAGAATCCTTCTCCACTTTCTCCATTCCTCACCCTGGCCTCTCCCTACTCTCCTCAACTCCTTCACATTCTGCCCTCAGTTCCGTCATTAAAATCAGTATTTTCTCATTTATTGTTTATTATGCTTAACCAATATCTGGGGGTCATTTTTTATTCTGTCCCAGGAGATATTTGGCTATCGGACTCAAGGCTGCCGGCAAACCCTCTGTATTGCTGGATCCATCTTCTCATTTGGAATCCTCCCCTTGGTGTTTTACTGGAGGCCAGCGTGGCACGTATGGGCAAATTGTGTCCCATGTTCCTTGCAAGAAGCAGATGTCGTGTTGCTGAGGACAACAGTAAGTGTGTACCTGGTTTTGTAGCTGGTGCCCCCTTTTTCCTGGACATCATGGAGCATGGCTGGGGGAGATGTGCACAAGGCGGGTAGCAGGCGAAGGCTGCAGTCTTAAGTTCCATCACAGCCTTTCATCTGCCAAGAATTCGGTAATTTGCGTATGATGGGATTTGATTAGGAAGACTTATTTCATGGGGTATTTCATTTAAAATCGTGAGTTTTGTGAATATTAGAGCAGGGAATAACCACGTTAATAGCTAAAAATAACAGATAGTGTAAAGTAGTTAAGTCAGGCTACAGGCTACAAGATTCACACTGACTGTTTCCCCCAATCCCTGACATATCCATGCCTATTCTCCCCACTGGAGTGACTCTGGAGGAGGGGAGGGAAAGAGTTGGGGAGAAGGTGGGGAGCATCTCTCTGAGGATGATGCTTTCTTTCCATGCTGATTTGAGAGAGCCACAGTTTTTGATGGGGGTGGGTGGTATTCTGCAGATATAAAAGGGTAAAAACGCAGCCATCTTGTTCCTGGTGTGGTTGCTTCTCTCTGCTAATACAAGGCGTTGGTCTTAGGTGAGTTTCCCTGTATTTGTTCCCATGCCAATTCTTCATAGCTCTTATAACACTTGGACAATGTGCATAATTTCTGCAGGACTGTCAGCTGCACAAGGGAAGTGACCATTTCTAACTTGTTAATTGCTGCACCTGCAGTTCCTCCATGTGGTAGTGATTCCTTTAATATGTGGTGGACAGACTTAAGTGGATATTTCCATTGAGGAGAGTGAAAGGACAGTCTAATGGAGGACTCTCTTCCGGATGACTTTTACTGAGCCAAATGATCCAGAATGACAACCAAATTCTTGATAAATCAACCTCTGTTGGGAGTTTAACTTCTTTTTGTATATAGCAATCTCTCCAGATAAATATTGTATTTAATGCAGTAAGACAGGAGAATAGCAACAAGCCTTACAAATGACCAGAAAAAAAGTCCGTATTTCAATCTGAAATCTCACAGTGCTAGGGCTAAACTTTAATGAAATTGAGAGTTGACTGAAGTTTGTCTTTGCTGACTTGCTCCTTTGGGGCCAGCCCCACCCCTCGTTTCTGGATCCTGGTTCCACACTCATTCTATGTCCCAGTTTAGCTGACACGTGAGCCATCGTGCGGTGATGGCAGAGGCACCTCCTCGCAAGTCCAACTATAATTTAACTAGAGATTCCTGGAGAATAAGCTTCAAGACTAAGAAAGCAAGAGGTTATTGTGGAGTAAGAATGAGTCATATTGATAATGTTAGGTTGGAGCGTGGACTCTACTGATGTCTCAAATCATTCTTCATGAAAACTTACAGAATGTGCATGATAGAAAAGTGCCTGGAACCCACCAAGTAATACTTTTTCATATGCTGGGTGATGAAATGGGGCCTGGGGAGGTGACCCAATGTCCTCTAGCTCTTTTGTGAGTGAGGGGCCCAAGCAGGACTAAGTCCTATGTGTCTTAGCTTCTAGTCTAGGGCTGTTCCCATTGCACTATACTTAGACCAGTGGTTCCTAAACTTCAACTACATCAGAATAATCTAAAGGGCCTAAAGCAGATTGCTGGGGCCCACCCCAGAGTGTCTAATTCATGAGATCTGGACTGGGGCCCAAGAATTTGCATTTTTAATAGGTTCTCAGGTGATGCTAATGTTTCTGGTTTAGGGGGATACGTTTTGAGAAAAACTGCTGTAAATAGTTATCACTCCCATTTATGAGCTCTCTTGATCTTTGGGAGTGAAATAGAGACATGGACATTTGATTTATGGTTCAGACAGTATATATTTATATAGTCTCGAGAATAATAATCCAGATTTGGCAAAACGGTATAAGCAGCCCTCCCATACACAGCCTGAGTGTCTTGCTGGGGCAGAGGTAGAGAAAAGGTTGCTTTCTGGGACCCAGAGCAAAGATATAATTATTCATGGAAGACCCTATCTTTGGGATCTTTCATGGATCAACCCCTCCATGTGAACTTAAATGAGATTCTTATTTTCCGGCAGGAAAGGAATTTAACTCTACCCTGCAGGTACATCCATCTGCCCTCAACTAGTTCACAAGGGGCAACGCTTTTGCTGCAGTAGAAGCAGAGTCTTACAAACAGAAAAGCTTTCTGCCTTTCAGAGTGCATCAGCGGACTTCAGATCTGAGAACGTCGGGTTAGCCAAACTGTGCTCTCTGAGGTTGCTGGCAGAGTCAAGCAACAGACAGGAATAAGAGGAAATGGGCAAAGAAATGAAAAAGGAAGGGAGGAAAGTAGAAGAAATGGAGAGAGAAATAAGTAAAAGAAAAATGAAGAGGGAGAAAGAAAAATCTAAGAGTGAAAAAAAAAATGTCACCAAACAGGGAGATGGTGCATTTTGGGGATTCGGAGTCTAAAGTTTTGACTTCTAGTCCTAGCACCTTAGGTTTGTTACCCAACTTTTCAGGACCTTGATTTCTCCACTTATAAAATGGGGCAGGTAAAGTACTTGTTCTTTCATGGGCTGGTGTGAGAATGAGGTGCGATTATGTATGTAAAAGCTATCTGCAAATTGTAAAATCCATCATCAAAAACCATTTTGATTGTGTGTGTGTGTGTGTGTGTGTGTGTGTGTGTGCGCGCACGCGCACGATTGCTCAAGCCACTCCAAGAGCTTTCTATACAAAGAACTTGCTATACTCGAGGGACACCGGTGTCTAATGGCCCTGCTTATCTGGCCGATGGGCCCTTTCCGTATTGCCCAGCAGGCCTGGCAGTCCCTTCCAGGATAACAGACATGAGGGAGGTGTTCTGTGGCTGTGAATCCCAGCTCTCTTTCATACTCGGCCAGGTGATCTCTCCCAGGTGCATGCAGTTAGCTTTGGAACTGGACATGTACTGGAAAGGCTCAATACTTTTGTATTGGTGCCTCTGGGAGCTGCATTCTATCATCCCACCTCTTTCTTAGCATCTTCGCATCTTTGAAAGTCTATCAAGCCCCTCCGCATTTCACTCCCCTCCACAACTAATCAAAGCAGTCTAAACCAGCTTCAATCTTGCTTTTTTTGTCTTGATTTCAACTTTAATTTTTAATTACCTGCTCTTGTGTGTCACTTTAAATGGATTTGCTATGCCAGAGACTCTCCAAATAAATGAGGTTCTAAATTAGTCTTTACATAATTAGACAAGAATTCAATTATTTCAAACATTCTTACGATCTGAGACTTAGATAAAAATAAGCTTTGGGCACTAATAGTTTAAAAGTCTGCTGCTAGGTTATTTGCATTAAAATGACACCTTACGAAGATTTTATTTGAATTATTTTACAATAGCTGGACTGTAACGACTTCCCATTAAGGAGAACTGGATGACTCCAACCTGAAAATGTGTTGTGTATCTGTTCTTCATGCTATTAAAAAATCAGTACTTGGTATTTATCATCAATCTCACACTGGTAAGATTACGGATCATTAGCACAAATACTGATTGGGTAGTCATTTCCTAACACTAAAAAAAAAAGGCCACGATGTACTGACTGAAAGTCTTCAGTACACAGTTTATTTTCTACCCCTCTTCCCTTATTAAGTACCTCTAACAGTGAGATTTTTCCAAAAGATAAGAGTAATTACATTTTTATTTTATAATTTTAGAAGGGACATTTTATTCATTATTCATCTACTTTTGAATTTTAATTAAAATCTGTAGCAATGCCACATTTCTACGCAAATAACATGATTTACATTCATTAGTGTTTTGAATTCAGATGCTCCTGATAATTTTCATAGTTTCCATCTTTATGGTTATTAGAAACACAGTTTTTCCTTCATTGTCATTGTATGTGACCTGTTGTCAAAGACCCATCATTTTGTGATGATTAGTAGTGAGGCCTGACTCAAGGCACTTCGGTTTGATGTTTTAACGGGGAGCATTTTCCCTTTGGTTTCAGCAAAAGATGTCAAGGCTGGACGGGTGCAGTGGCTCATGCCTATAGTCCTAGCACTTTGGGAGACTGAGGCGGGAGATTACTTGAGCTGGGGAGTTCAAAGACCAGCCTGAGCAAGAGCGAGACTCCATTTCTACTAAAAATAAAATAATTAGCTGGGCTATGTGGCCTGCGCCTGTAGTCCCAGCTACTTGGGAGGCTGAGACAGGAGGATCGCTTGAGCCCGGGAGTTTGAGGTTACAGTGAGCTGTGAGGATGCCACTGCACTCTAGCCAGGGCGACAGAGAAAGACTCACTCAGAAAAAAAAGAAAGAAAAAGAAAGAAGGAAGAAAAAGATGGAAGGAAGGAAGGAAGGAAGGAAGGAAGGAAGGAAGGAAGGAAGGAAGGAAGGAAGGGAGGGAGGGAAAGTCAAGGCTAGGGGCTTTAGTTCCAAAACTTAGAAACTCTGAGAACCACCTGTGTGAGTGGCAGCCCACATCCTCTCAGCAATGGGCAGCATTTGTGCTTCCTGGCTTCTTTACCTCCTCCCCTTCCTGCTCTGCTGCCGCACCTTGGTCTCTCACAGCCAGCGCTCCCCACACAGGCACCAATTCCTACAGGAACCAGGCATTTTGCTTTGTTCATGATTTTACCCACAAAGTTTGTTCTGATAGTACCTCTCTCCTCCATTCATTCATTCACTTATTTATTCATTCAGTTAGTATTTACTCACCACCAACCATATACCAGACTTCGTTATAGACACTGGAAATGTAGCTATGAACAAAACAGATGGAGATTTTTGTCCTTGCAGAGTGACATTCTAGTGATGAGTCAACACACACCCCACACACATAGGCACATTTCTATGAGGTAAATGTATTATAGAAAGTAGGTGTTTGATCTCTGCTTATTAAAACCTCATTCCTCAGCCATATCTCACCTTCTCTGTTAAGTCTTTGTTGATTCATTCTTTGCCCCAATTCTAGAGGGAGTTAATACACATTCTGCATTAGCTCTATGTTTCCTTGCTGACTACTGTAGTGCTTTTTGCAGTCTGCCTTGTGTTAAAATGTTGTTCACTTT